TCGCTGGGCTACGGGGGCGCCGCAGCCGCAGCCCCTGGAGGAGACCCCACAGCAACAACGCGCCGCCCGGCCCCTCGCCTCGCCTCGCCTCCCCCGCCCGGCACCGGCTCCTGTTGGAGCTAACGAGAAACATCCCGACCCCCGCTTTGACCACTTCCAAAATGGCGCCGCGCTGGCTTCACGCCTTGGAGAAGCGTTTCCCTCAACAAAGATGGCGGAGAGGTCGCTAGATTGGCCGAGTCCTGCCCCAGGCTGCTGCTCAGGGAAGGCCGTCGCGGAGCGGCCCCCGCGGAGCAGCGCGGCTGAGGGCTGGCGGGCACCTCCAGGAGCCCGTGTCTGCACTCCCACACGGATCCGAGGACTCTTGGCTGCGGGCACAACTTGGGCCGCGCCTGCACGGGGCAGCGCTGGGGCAGCGGGGCCAAGCGGGGCCAAGCGTCTGCTGCCCCCCGCGCGGGGGCACGGCCCCGCCGAGAAACACGCGCCCCGAGGCAGGCGCAGCTGCAGAAGCGGGGAGGCTGCCTGCCCGACGCGCGTGCGCGAGAGGCGCATCGAGGCCCTGAAGCTCTTCTGCCAGGAGGGCGAAGCCCCGTCCGTGGGGTGCGATAGACCCCGGACATCGCTGCGGTTCCCGTCGGGGAGGCTGCCCACTGGCACTGCGGGGCAGGGCACAGCTGTCCCACGACCCCGACGGCTCCAGCTGCTCTGCAGTCGGGCAACCCATGTGTGAGCCAGCGATCGGCCCGGACCAGAGCCCAGAAGTGTTGCCAGAGCCACCCCTAGGGCACAGGGATCGAGGCAGCCGTGCTTTTGGGGGGCCCACGGAGCTGGGCAGAGCGGCCGCAGCCCGCCCCACAGGGTGTGCCTGGAGCTCAGCCCCGCGCCGCGGAAGAAGCACGGAGCCCCCCGCTTTGCAGGCGTACCACAGCCCCACAGAGCAAGTTTTGTCCAAGACACTACCGACTTTCTACAGAAACTTAAAAGCATAGACCACCCACCCAGCAACACCCTCCTAGCCACCATGGACGTTACCAGCCTATACACCAACATCCCACACCAAGATGGCATGCAAGCCTGCCGTACAAATCTACAGGAACAAGATTACAACTCAGAATACAGACCCAGATATTACTGAGCTTATACACTTCGTCCTCACACACAACAATTTCACTTTTAATAATCAACACTTCCTCCAGACGATGGGAACAGCTATGGGCACCAAAATGCCCCAACATACATATCTGCACAGAACCAGCAATCACCCTAAACACACCAAAAAAGCTGTGATATACAGC